CCCTACATTAAGCTGGATACTTCTTTTATTAATCTCCCAGGAGGAATCATGACCGGAGTCAGCTTGACACCCATGACTGGCAGCTGAGTTGCAAAGAACTGCCTTAATACAGCCTTCCCTATGCTGCCCATTATTATGTCTCATCCCTGCTTTTTTCTGCAGTCAGGGAGGATTCAATTCTTCATGCCCGTTCTGTCCATGGGCTCTCAGATGAGCCTGCCAACCAGACATTCAGTTAACACCAGATGGGGTACTCAGTTTGGGGGGTTTTTTTTCCTAAAGGGGGAGGTTATTTCCCAATAGGAAGTGAGCTGAACCCTCCAAATTCATTTCACAGTAGGTTACTCAACTGCTGAACAAGGCAGTAGCAGTGCACATCACTAAACCACCCAGTTCAGATTTGAACTTGTAACCTAGTATCTGACTTCCATACCATATAGTAGTGTATAATGCCCCAATTAACATGAAAATGTAGCATCATACACTCTGTTACCATGAAGCAGAGAGTGGAGCAAGCAGTGGAGGGTTGAAGGCAGGGGAGATTTAGGGACATAGCTGATTAAACTTTTGACCATTAAACAACATTTTCAAAAACTCATTTTGGATCAATTGAAATGTTTTGTTTCAATTTGAACTTTACATTTATATATATATTCTTTCTGTGTATACATTAGTAATATATATCTATTTTTTGTTTAATGTTAATTTCTTTGATGTTTTGGGTTTTTTCTGTTTAGTAACTTGGGATGTATGTATTATATTTCTGGTTTATTTTGAATTTCCTTTCTGTAGATTTTAATTTTACTATAACTTCTGTGGTTCAAAATATTCCCATGCCAACATGTTGCAAGCTGAAGCAAAAGCCCCAGAGTAGGAACAAGCCTGTGTTTACACTGAACAAAATAACTTTCTGGCTTGAAATAGGCTCCTGCCTCAATGAATTCCCCCTGGGAAGCAAGGTCTTTCCCAGCTGAAACAACTCTTTGAAGTAGGACAAGCCTCTGCCTAACCCAGGATCCTAGGCTTATATATCTGCCAGCATGTCTAAATCTTCCAAGGCAGAAACAGGTCATAATCTGACCTGGATGCTTGGGGCTACAGACAGAACCCAGGGCCCTCCTCCTCTCTGAGGCAACATTCATCTCACTGAGCCAGCCATCCTGTAATTATTTGTTCTCCTCTTGCTTGGCTCCACATTTCTTCCCCTACTGGCTGCCCAGTAGGCCAGCTTCAAGAGGAGGGCTTGGGAGCATTCTGGGTAATGTCTACCCCTTGGCTTAGTGGTTGCAGATTTAGGAAGTGAGAGATTGAGGTCCAAATCCACTATAAGTAATGAGAGAAGGAGGGCCAGGGCTAAAAACCCACATGTTCCTCCCTGAGCAAGTAAATGACTTCTTCAACTACTATGTTATTGGGGTAGAAAATGGGAGAACTGCTCTCATCTGTCTGTGGGATCTGTTAATCATGGTTTGTCTGTGACTAGTGTCTTGGGACTTGCTCGGCATTCCACATGTTCCCAAATGATTCCTTGCCACCTAGGTGCCTAAACACCCATAGTGAAGCCTATTGAACATGCTCCGAAGAAGAGGTGCAGGGTGAGCATAACTACACAAATGTAAAAAGAATCCAAACTGTTTGTAAGGACCAAAAAAGCACCCCTTAGGCACGTACAGAGGACATAGGATCCAGCCTAGGGTATGTTATGCACATTGATGAATGATGTCTCACAGCCACCAACTGAGATAGTGAAGTAACCTTATTTCCATTTTTCAGACGGGAAAATTGAAGTAGAGATGGGAACTGATCTCACCTGAGATCACTCAGTGAAGTGACAGTCAGAATGACAACACCAGAGTTACGATTCTCAGTTCTTGGCCTGCAACACTAGCAAGAGCTCTGTCCTACTGGTTGATATAAGGATTTCAGCTAAGATTTAACTTTTCTTATTCACCCTTCTTCTAGGTGATCCAGGGCCTGGTAATTGGAAGGCTAACTAGTTACTACACAGAGCGTACCCTACTCATGTTGGGCGTTGTCGTTTTTGGTGGCGTGGGGCTAGCCTTGGTAAGAGTCAAGATGGGATTTTCAAAAATGCCTGAAGAGGACAAAAGTATCCATCATGTGGGCGGTATCACTTCAACTACAGCAGCAGCATGATAACTCTTCCTGTAAGGAAGGGGAGGTGTGAGCCCACTATCACTAACCAGAATGGTTATACCAATACCAAACCACTTGAGCTGCAGAACCCAAGTGCAGTCTGAGTTTCCACCTTAATCTTGCTGTCTTGTGAGTGATGCAGCAGCTTGAGGCATCTTAACATTCCTATCAAGGCACAACAGTTTAATTAATTGAAACAACTGAGGAATGAGGGCCTTAAAGAGAAAATGAGAAGCAAAGTGAATGAGATGTTATCTTTTATTCATTAAATGCATTTGCTGGATGCAGCAGCATTAAACAGTATCAAGAATAGTATGAATGAGGCTGCATAAGCTTGCTGGGCATGTCTTCAGCAATAACAATGAGAAATGAGTAAAAGCACAGTAATTTAAATAGCCTTATTAAAATTTCACTGCATCGATCACTGTGTTCATGCAGAGAAGCCACTCACTGTGGCTTAAAATGACAGATTTGGAAGCAATCCAGGCCCGAGAAGATCCTGGTGGCTGCTGAGGGGGGTTGGAGTGGGAGGATTACAGAGCTGGCAATTAGACCATGCCCAGAGGGCTTAGGACATCCTGACAGCTTGGGCCTGAGAGAGACAAGGGTCAGGAATGACTTCCCATGAGAACTATTCATAGGAAAAGGCAGCTGCAGGCCTTTTCGCCAAGTCAAGCTTATTAAAAAGCACTCTGTTCAAGGCGTTGCCAAGAAAACATCCGTTTCTGGGGTGGCTTTTCATAACGGAGGTCATGGCAGAAATAAGCTGTGTGGAGGCAACTTGTCATCAGCAGGACCTTAATGCACTGATTACAGATATTGGGGCAGAAGGTGTTTTTTGACTTGGACCCTCTTCCTCCATGCTGCAAGGGAGAGTGTCAAAGGGTGCAGAGGTAACAATTGTATTACTATCAAGGGATACTCATACAAGCTGTGGAGATAGGGCTGTAATGCCAGAGCATAACAGAACCACTCCAACTATAACCCTGCTTCATTCAGGGTCAAAGCTAAGATAATTTAGCTCACTTCTATCATCAAAGGCTTATGCAAATATAGCGATTACATCATAACAACTGATGTGCTTATCCAAACAGCAGTCCTTCCTCCCCTTTTAAAGCAGATAAAAATGTATGTTTGGCCATACACAAAAAGATAGCCATTTAACTTTCCAGAAAGATGCTGAGTCTACAAACCAGTTTAAAAACAAATTCAAGTCCCAGCATCCAGGCATACCCTAATGTACATCAGAGACTGTGGCCTTCCAGCTAGGGACAAACATTACACATAAACTGGTTTAAGTGATCAGAAACTGATTTAAACCTGTAACAGAACAGATGTTCAGCACACACAAACCTGTTTGAAAATGGCTGAAACTGGCTTGAGATAAACCTGGTTGAATGTAATATCAGCCTTAACTCACTTGGGTCAAACCAGTTTATGCAATGTCTGTCCCAGATCCCTTGCTAGTTTAAGTTAAATCAGACTCCCCCAGCATCCTGGCATGTTCTCTGGGTTGGGAGGGGCTCTCTGCTCCCTGACTGCAGCTCTGGCAGAGAGACTTGCAGGCAGTACAAGGTCTGCTGGCTTCCCCCTGCCCTACCTCCCCCTTCCCCACCTCACTGCTTAAGCAGAGATCCCCTTCCTCCTCTCTCCCACAGCACAGACCGTAGCCAGCATGCGGTATGCTAGCTAATGCTGCGTAAGGCAGATAAGACAGGTGAGGGCTTTTGGAGCTAATCAACAGCTCAGCTGGTAATGTCCCTGCATTCCTTCCTTTGGAAAAAGCTGTTTAAGAAGAGCTTGAACTAATGAGCAAGGCTTTGTCTTCTGATGGGGTGCTAAATGCTGATAAAAGAAATGATAATTGCTCTGTCATGAAGATGTGAGGGGACTCCCTCCCTAATCACAGCATCCTGCTGGGGCCTGGCCATGCCCCCCTCTGCTCAGCCCTGTAGCAGGGAAGGGAGGGCTGCTCTAGCACCCCCCAGCTTCTAGCCTGAGCCACTGCAGGCATGTGCCAGCATTTTTTCAGGTCAGAGGGGATATCTGTAGTTACAAAATGATCAATTCAGGCTTTTTTGAATGTCTGTCCCTAGCCTAGAGCATCAGGAAGTGGAGGAGGCATTCTCCCAGCAGCAATTCCATGTTTATGTCATTTCCCTCATCTTAGTGCTCAGGATTGATGGGCCCACACAGCATTCAGGAGCTATCATTCTGGTATTGATCTGCTCTGACCATTCACTACAGCTACCACAATGTCTGGGAAACAGCTGGTTGCTGTAGCTGTGTACATTTCTGATCCCTGTTTGGTTCCTGCCAGCATTTGCTCTAGAAAAGGTGCTTTTGTTATCCTTGCTTTGTTCTGACTATCTTGCACACCAAGGACTAGAACTTGCACTCCTTCCTCCAACACTGAGGCAAAGGTCCCCTCAGAGTCACAACCATTATCTCTCAGGTCTCTAGACAGTGAATTAATCTGTAGATCTTAATCCAGTTAAAAAAAAAAACTTGTTCTTAACCTCAGCATTACCAAATCATGAGTTAGAAATGTTTCTGGGCTTGTTTTAACTCTGTAGCCAAGAGGCACCGACTGGATTTTATTAAAGAAAAATCCAGTTGGTATGATACAACGAGTAAAACTTCCGGCTTAACAAAGGATAAAAAGGATTTCTAGACCACAATAGAAGAAATACACCTTGAAAGTTAACCCTAGGATGAGACATCCGAGAGCAGGGGAGAGAGTAATTTCCTTTCTATGCCCCAGAGAAATGAGTTAATTTGACCGGTGAGGATTGTGAGTGAATTGAAAGCTACTTTAGCCCCATCACCTGTGTGTTCAGTACCTCTCACAGTACTAAGCAGCTGGGAGGATGTCTCCCTTAAGGATTGTTCAATAAGAAGATTTTTACAGTGATACATTTATGACCAGGAGACCCACTCCAGATTACTAAACACAGAGAAGCTATTGGCAAGTAAATAAACAAACTGGATTAGAAATCCCAGAGAACAGCATTACATAACCTACCTTGTTGGGTTATTTTGGCAAGTGTAGTTAAGCTTTAATTATTTATGATAATGAGTTAGGTGGTTTTGTGTAAGTAATAAAGACTTAATGAGACCATGCTACTCTGCTATTAAACCTTTCCCACAAGGTTGGGAGAGACAACCAAGGGGGTGGGGAGAAGGGTAGGGGTTACGAGAATTGTCAGACTTTGTGAATTAGCAAAGCTAGGCTAAATGCGGTTTTGACTTGTTCTGTAGGATATAATTTGTGACATGTGCTGAGTGTATATAATAATGCATTAAACAAACACAAAGGTAGGATAAGAGACCTGAACGTGCCAGCTTCTCATATGGTGGAAATCAGTTTTGTTCCATTGGCCCAGTATCAGTTTCTACCAGCTAAGGGTCTGGCATAGTCTGTTTTTATTAAGTGCTGTGGGGATTGCACCTCACTGATAGGACAGTGCCACTTGTGCTGCCCAAGAGTTGGCTCTCTAAGAGGCTATGATGTTTTCTGTTCTGCCACCCAGGCTCTGATGACCAACGTGTTCCATTACTGCATCATCTCTCTCCCCATGGTGTTTGCATTCTGCACTGTGGGTGTCATCACAGACAGCATTCTCACCAAGGCCGTTCCGCCTTTGGACACCGGTAAGCCTCCTTAATGGGGTTTTTATCCTTACCTAAATTCAGTCAGCTGCTCCTCCTACTCCAGCTCAGGGCTTGTGACTTTTAGAGCCTGCGAGCTTAAACTGCAAGCTGGCCTGTGCACAAACCCTCTGTGTGCTGCTGACCCCGATGCTGTCAGCCGAGACTTAGAGATCTGCGGGAAGAATGGCGAGTTCCAAGGGCTGAGCACATCACATCAGGCATAATTTTCCTTAGAACAAAGGGTAACCTATATTAGTCCCACATCTTTGCCAGCCTATGAACATTGCTTAGAATGAGCATGGCTAGAGTTACAAGGGTGCCTGCAGTGAGCCAGCAACCAGCAGCGATTGGCACTGCCAGAAACATAACAAGAGGCTAAATCATGGAGCTTTGACGTAGTCTGAAATCTGCCCCAGCACAGAGGGTCTGTGCATAGTTCTGCATATGTTTAAGGGCTCAGCTCAGCAGGGCCTTGCATCAGTCCTGTGTGTTCAGTCGCATTTCAATACCCCCCCCCCTCTGCCCCTCAACAAATCTGTCCTCAGAAACAGAAAATTAATGATGGCTCTGCTCCTTGAGAAGGCTGCGATGGAAGCAAGTGGCAGGTCATGATTTAGGGCAGCGAGTGGTCTGCAGGTCACATGCAGCCCCTGAGGGCTTAACCTGGGGCCTCTAAGCTCCCAGTCTGGGTACCTCTTCCCACCCCATCACTTCAGCTGCTGCTGCCACCACCACTACCAGAGTCTCCAGGCTCCCTGTCCCTTCCCTGGCTTCTATTGCCTGCCCCCACACTTGAGGGTGGGCTAGGGTGGTGCAGCTCACCAGCCTGAGGGACCAGGAGCAGAAAAGAGACCTGGTGACCTTATGTGGTGAGAGTGCACCAGCCCAGTGCAGCAACAAGTGGCTCACAGCATGGCAGGAGCCCACAGGATGCAGGGGCACTGGTGCAGTGCAGGAGCATGATGGAGAACCCACATAGTGTAGTGTGGTGTGCAGCCCATGTGGTCTGTGGCCTCTCAGCCACTCAGAAGTTGGACAGCCCTGATTTAGGGCTATTGCACTTCCTCATGCCCTGTCACTGTTACGTAAGTACAGCTGTGGTGCTTTAACACTGAGGCACTGGTCTGGTTATATTAAACATGCCATTGCCTGAGAAATCTGGGTTGGACAGCTGCATGCAATGAATGTTGGCAACGGAAATGAACCCATGCAGCATTAATGATGCAGTATCAAGCAACACTGCACTTACAACTGCCCATTCCAAGTTGTCATTAAGGCTCAGGCTGCTGGCACTTCTGTAGCACTTGCAAATATCAGTCCATGTGACCATATATTCCCATCAATAAAGAAAGGTTTACGTAGTTTTTTTTAACATTTGAATGCTTCAAGCCATGCATCTTGCTACCATAAACAGCTATGCAGTCAGAGTTAAAATGCAGTTTCTCTCGCACACGCTTGCACAGGGATGCTGCAAGGATGAATTTTATAAGAATTCTTGATTGCTGTAGGTTATGTTAGATACTCAGTTATCACATTATTGGAAAGGAAGGGTGAAGAGGCTGAAGGGGTTTCTAAGCATCAGGCTAACCTCAGCTGGAGCTCCAAGCCTTGCTGTAGTGAAAGAAGCCTCCCAAAGAAGAAGAGCCAACTACTATGTATCCAGCCATCTCAGAAGAACATCTACAATCTGGATTGCAGTTGCCTACCCTTGTCTTAGACTGTTTTGGGGGGTTTCTAGGGGCTGTTAAACATTTCTACATTTCAGTGTAGAAGTGGCTGCAAATCAGTGGTAAACACAGATGTTGTTGTATCTATTTGTTTCTCAAGGTACAGCTAGAAATGCATGTGCCTTAAGGCTACCCCAGTCATATTACTGTAAGCCTTCCATAGCCCTCGCCTTGTCCATCTACTTTCTTCCTGTGTAGAAGCCAGGAGTCCTTTTGTGTGGAATGGAGCGTACTGAACTGGGCTGTCCTTATCTGCAAACCATGCTTCCCATCTCTTAAGCACTGCACACATGGTTCTGGTCACCACGTAGATGCAGTTTCCCTCCTTTAGGGGATCCAGTGTTGGAAGAGTCAAACTCCAAATTCTGGCTTGCACGTGCACCCTCCCCACCCCCGACACACACAGGCATGAGTGTTTGCAAACCCCTGTTGCAATTTTACCCACAGATTGTACAACCTGTCAGGAAAGTTTCTTAAAGCACTTTTGGATTCCTTCTGGGTGAAAACCTTTGGAAAGGTCACATCCTTGACTTATTTGTAAAGCTGAAAGAATTCCCATTGAATGCACCATAGATGAAAGCTTAACGTTTGTTTGGTATAAATCATTTAGCTGTTCCTGAGGTAAAGGCCTACATTTTCCTGGGCTCTCAGTTCTGCTCAAATTAAAATTTTCAGTTTCAGACATTTAAGAAATGTTCAGTGAAGAGTGAAAGCTATGGGGGAAGGGCAGTAAATGGCATTTAAACATAGAGCAAAGTTGGAACTTATCCAGCTAACTCTCAAAAGGGCTTTTGTGAGCAGGGGGAAACGGAACATGCTCTGATTTTAAAGCCCAGGGGCTACATTCAGACACAAATGAGAGAATTCAGTGGCCTCATCCTTATCCTTATTTGCGTATGTTATTAGGTCACCATGCAATTCAGCCAGATTGGTAGACTCTTCACAGGAACTGAGGAGGGAGTGACACTCCAGGGTGGGTTGCAAGAAAAGATTGCTTTGCAATAAGGGAGTTGTGTGTGGGCTGAGGGGTAAACTGGTAGGGACTATACCAGGTCAGGAATGAAGTGCATGTTTGTACAGTGCCTAGCACAGTGGGCCACAACTACTCAAGCCCTTCAGCAGTGCAAATAATAACAGGTGGTCTGATGTTTGGGCTTAGGGCTAGATAAACAGAGGGTGCAGCTGGAAGATGTGGATTGCAGTGCTTTAGCAAAGGCAGGTGGCCAGGGAAAGGGAAAAACCAGGCATAAGTCACATGTCCAGATCCGAAAGCCAAATGCCATCTGTTCACCTTTTTATGTTTTTGCATTAAAAAAACAAAAACGTTTTAACAATAAAGTCCACTCAGGCAGGGGCAGCCATTCAGTCCAGAGGGCTGAACACAACAGGGCAATGCATGTGTGATCAGGTCCTTTGGAGCAGCAGGTTGGAATAGCAGCGTGGGTGTCTCATGGAGAGGCACAGCTATTAAAGTGCCTGCCACCCATTTCCGATCATGGGTGGCACCACACACTACCTGTTCCACCCACATATCAGCTACACTAATCTCCTGACTATGCAAACATGAAATTTACACTGCAAATTAGTCATTTTTAGTTACATTTTCATCTTTTTATTAGTCAGTGAGAGTGAGTTTATAAGGTCCCACCCTGCTCTGCCTTGATGCTACAGTTGATAGTCAAGCTTTTTCATATAAAAAATTCAGGATGTGGTGTTAGCATTTCACTTTAGCCACATTCACATGATTGCTGTATTCACCAGTGGAATTCCTGCCCTGCATTTACAGTCCTCTGTAGAGCTTTTCAGCATCCACTACAGAGGAATCAATCTCTCCACTGACTTTCCTGAGGGTTGAGTCATGACGAGAGAGAGGACCCACCCACAAAATAGGGTGCCTCTCTCATCAAAGGGATGGGCGGGATAGATTATTCTTTTCCACTGGCTCTAAATGTGATATGCTCTCTGCCTTTTCTAGATAGGTAGATTTCTCAGGAAATATGTACACTCTAGGATGCTAATCACTACTTGCAGTAGGCATTCAGCTCTGTGGATGAGAGCTTGAATTCCTAAAGCCATTTCCAATTAGGGCTGATGACTTTACCATTCAGTTTTAATTTATCACTGGGGCTTTCAGCTGAAAGGAACAGACTGGAAATGATTTCATTCATTTCCCTTTGATTTTGTCTCTTCAAAGGCAGGAAGGCATTTTACACTATGTTTGAGTGCCATTTATCTACGTGCAAGAGCCGATGGGAATGCTGGTTCAAGCAGTCAGTTTGTCTTCGCACAGTGCCTGACAGAACTCAATCCCCTCTCTTAGAGGGGAGGTGTTTCTGTTTAGGGGTCTCTTTTCACAGGCTCATTGCTTCATGGCACCATAGGTGGTGATTCTGTTCAATGGTATGAGAATAGCCAGAGGTTAAAATGGAGCTTGAACAAATTGAGCTCTCAGCTCTGCTTTTATCCAGTATCCAGCAATATGGCAGCCTACCCTATATTGCTGCATTCCAGCAGCCTGCATTGTGCTACATGACCCTGCTTTTGGAACAGATGGGGCATACCCTGTTTGGTTTTCCTAGCTCAGTGTGGCTTCTCTCCATTATTCAGACTGCTGATCCATAGCCTGCTACCTGCCTGACATTTGAATTAAACTACACTATTGCGTGATGATCTGAGAACTGGTCTAGAGCAGCACTATAATCCTAGCATGGTAGCATGATAAAAATCAAAAAAGGAGGGAGGCTAGAGTATTCAGAAATGTAGGAGCTCAAGTAAAAGCACCAAGGGGAGGTCAATGACCTCACTGCCCTTGCCTAGTAGACACCTTTGGGTCTAAACCCTAAAGTCTATAGTGAGTGATTTGGAAAACTGAGCCAGCGAGATTATGGGGCTGAGTTGGACAAGGTAGGGTGAGAGGCTGGGAACAGATCAAGGAAAGGGAAATGAGAACAGGTCACTTGTAGTGTGAGACAAGGGAAATGGCTGGGAAGAGGGAAGAATTGTAGGGAGAGGGACCATGCAGAAAGAAAGGTGGGGTAGTCACAGAAAGAATTAATGCAACTGCCATTTCTGGCATTATGTGGCCTGCTTCCAAGTTAGAGTGAAAGGTAGACAGCATATAGATATTTGGCTTAATGAGACACTTTTTAGAATGGTACCAGTAAGCGCTTCACTTTGAGCCCTACAAATGCAAGCTCATTCTAGAGGTGGACCATAGATTGAAACCTCCCAAAGGTCAATGGTGCTTACAGCTACGGGATCTAATTTTGACCCATCTAGTTTTTTAGGAAACAGAAATCACTACTACCTTACTGCAGATTTCAGTGTCTCAGAGGTGCAGACCTGGCAACCCAGCCAGTTTAGAAGCCAGATCTCTGCTTTAGAAAGAAAGAGTGCCAGCTCAACTGTTAAAAACCAGTTTAGCAGTTGTGTATAGTAATGAGGTTAGTTCAAATGCCTGGCTAGGAGGGAGGGGGGAAAAGATAGAAAGAATCTGTGTGGTTATTCCCACAGGAGAACTGGCAGCTTTGGGATCCACACATCTCATGGGATTGCCCCACACATGATCCCCAAACCTGAGAACAGACCCTTTTGTTCTTCCTGAACAGTCAGAACACCAACACACATGTTCTGTTTCATCCAAGCCTACACAAGGGGACCAACAATCACACAAACAATGGCCAATGGTATTACTCATTTGCTGGTAGCAGCCCCCAGAAGGCTCCCAGAGATATTTCCTCTCACCCCCACCCCCTCTTTATTGGCTTATTTCTCAACTAGTTTTTAGCACTCTGGATGAAAGTGCAGCACTCCTCAACCCCCATTAATGTGACACGTGGTTAGATTTCCACTATTCTCTGTCCTGCAGGAATTCTCTGTCCTGCAGGAAAAGGATTCAGAGTCTCTGTTTTGATCCAGATCCCTGCTACTCCAGTATTCAGTCTAAACCACTAGAATGGAATAGTGCAGGTGTGCTTACATATTGTGCTATCTAGACAGAGCTCAGGGTGCAGCCCCTATACCTGAAAACAGGACTCTTGTTCTTCCTAACCAGTCAAAAATGCCGACAGACTTGCAGAATGCAGGGACACTAAACAAAAAGAAATAAAGTAATTTAGATACAAAGGCAGCAGTGTTGCATGGCATGGACTACAGTGTAGATAGATAAGAGGAATTATGTGATGCAATTGCCTGTGATTGATAGCAGGAAACTAGACCCTGTGACACAAGGTTCATTCCAGCTCTATGTTCCTTTGTAACTACAATTAACTTATACATTCTCCATGTTTGCTCTCTGCTATCTTCTCCAGGAGCCATGCTTGGGATATGTGCATCAGTTCATCCCCTGATGCGGACTGTGGGCCCAACAATAGGTGGAATTTTGTACAAACAATTTGGAGTCTCATCCTTTGGTTACTTGCAGCTGGCTGTCAACCTAGTTCTGTTTTTGTATCTTTCAAAGAATAAAATCCCCCCTAAAGAGGAAAAAGTTCAATAATTCAGGTTACACAGAAGTTTATCCCTTTGTCGACAAAAATTAAAAAGCACTTTAAAAAAAACCCATATATGACTGTATTTTGACTGCAGCAACCAAGATTGAAAATAAAATACATTAAACCACTGCTTCATATTTTTGCAGTGGATATACTTAGAAAGCTACTGCTTACAAAGCCTTGCAATAATTCATGGAGCTGACAGATTGCAGATGCTCCAGAGCCTTCACAGATGAAAAAGTAATTTGTAATTGTATAGCAAGCACTTAACAGACAGGACTGGACCATCAGCTGTTGTTAATCAGGATACCTCCACTGAAGTCAATGGGGCTATACGGATGGATAGCAACTGGAAATCCACTCCCCTCCACTCTGTTGTAATCAGTGCCTCCATGAGGCCCATATGGCAAATGTTAGAGTGACAAAAGATATCAGAACCAATGATTCCATTCAGTTTAGCAATAGACGCAGGCATCATTTCTTGCACTACTAGTGTGGAGGTAAAGGCACATTGGCCAAGATTTTCAGGGGAAGTGTCCCTACTATTGGCTCCCTAAATCCATACTTAAACCATGCGGCATATATAGTTTATATAGCATTTTGCACAAAAAGATAAGTGGAGAGAGCATTTATGATTTAATGCTAAGCCAGCATCTGGCAATCTGTAATAAAACACAGCTTTTTATTTAGATGTGTGTAGTATACAAGGGCTGTACATGTTGCTTTTTCATGTGGCATATAAAAACCTCACTAGAGGAGTGAAGGCAGGCAGCCTAAAATGCAATAATACAAGGCAGAGGGGAAGAAACAAGCTGGGGTGGAGCAGAAGACAAGGAAACAGTACTTTATCCTACTTCAGTAATCAGACATCTCTATACATGTTTCTCTCCACCTACCATCCATACACAGGTAGAGAACTAGGTCTTTCTTCTGTACATCCCAAGAGATGACATCTACAAGCCAGCTTCACCCAGCAAAATGTTACTTACCCAGGCCTTGACTCACACTTGACTTCACTAGTCCTCTTGGTTTTGCACAACCATATTCTTTCCCAGGACCGCCCCTTTTTGTTAAGGTTTTGTCCGCCCCTTTTTGTTAAACTTATTTCTGCTTACGTTGCTTTTGGTTGCTACATGCCTGCTACATGCTGTTTTTATTACTTGTAATTCCCTGCAATGCCCTCAAGCAAGAATTGAAGCAAGTCATTTTAGCTGGTTAACAATTTCAGGTTCAGTTGCCTGCTACTGGCCTGAAGATCTTGCATTCAAGTCAGCATTCAAGTCAGCTTTTAGTGCCAATTGTTTCCCCTGCACCACCCCATCCTTATACCCGGCTTTCCTAGCATTGTAGCTGTAGAGGCTATCATTTTATGTTAACAGAATTGGTGAGGAGTAAGTCTTGTAAGATTTTACTTCAGTACACCCGAAAGTTCTCCAAGCCCTTAGATTATGTATGCGTTAAGAGCAAACAATCCAATGGCACTTCCAGCTTTTGCATTAAAATTGGAAACACCTGAGAGTAGCCTCTTTCCTTCACCATGCCTGAACTTTGCTGGATCTAGAAACTGTGGAGACATAGGGAGATGGAAGACAAGATAGGTGCATGTGTATACATGCATGCCTTTCAAAACCTGACATTTCAGGTCAGTCCTTCTGTTATCCTGAAACAGGTAATCCATATCTCTGCTTCAAGAAGTGGGAAAGTACTTGCTTATTTTGAGGGTTAAGACAGGTTATCCTGTCCCCTCTATGGTATAGAGTTGTTTCAGAGGAAAATGAAAGCAATAGCCACTGGATTCCCGGTTAGATGGACCAGAAGCTTAGTGTATTGCAACAATTTCCATGTCATTAGTTTAGATACAACTGTGTGTGTCTACACAAGATGCTTGAAGGTGCAGTACACTAATTCTACTGTGCATTAGTGCAGTGGACAAAACCCGTGCTATTGCACAGTAGAATTAGTCTACCACACATTAGCATCACCAAAAAAAGCATGTGCCAGTGCTAATGCACAGTAGTGCCGATTATGATGCATTAAGGTAGTATCTATAATTACAGGTACTAAACTTAATGTGTTGTAATTACAGCACATTAATGAACATGTAGACATGTAGCCCCCACTGAGTTTTTTGTTTGGAAACTAATTGAGACAGGACCTTCTCCCCTGTCCCCTCCATTCCCCCCCCAGTAGAAAAGCTTTCTGGTGCCAGAGAACATTGGTAATTTTAGTGCTAGCAGAAGTGTCTGTTACTATATTCCCTCTCCAGATGGAGTCTGTGAACTCTTAGTGCCACAGCATGACGCAATAAAAATTACTGTACCAAATTGTATAGTAATAAAAAAGTGAACATTTCAAGTAATTTATTTGGAATGGACACATTAATGCAAAAAAAGCAATATTAAGACCAATAACTGCTTAACAACATTCATCAAAATAAATACAAATATAGATACTACAAATAATTTAACTTTTTACACCTATAGGTGCTGAATATTCTTTGCATCCCATAAATAGAAAAGAATAGTTTGCAAAGCGGAACCACTTAAAACACGTGGAAGCTTCACAAGAAGTCCTTTCAAGAAAGTCTTTGGTTTTTAAGATTAAATCTCATACAAAGCTCAGGGCTCTTTCCTTAGCAGCCTCAACAGACTTGAAGGAAGTCACGGTGCTTCCAGCTTTCTTCTTTGTATTCCTTCATTGGTACCCTGTCACACTTCAGTCCAAGACACTTGATCTTGTTTTTGATCCAGCAGTAAGTTCTAAAGAGAGTGAGAGAGAAGTTGGTCAGTAACCATGTAAGAGAATAGCATTCTTTACAAGTATGAATTTTCAAAAGGAGCTCAAAAGGAGTTTAGCACCCTTCTTACAAATGACTTGAATCTAGATGCACATTCCCTTAAAGAAATCTCTATTAAAAGTGTCCTTTCTTGTATCCTCAGCTACTTTGAATAATTATTCAAAATTGCACCTGTTAGTCACTAATGAAATTGCAATATAACACAGAGGGTCCCTGCTGTCCATAGAAACATAGGAGAGAAATCCTCTGCCTGCAGGATGGGACACCAAGACCTAAATCCTTGGTTGCAGCAGAAGCTGAACAGCTGCACTTTTAAAAGGACATGGACCCACATCTATAATTTTTCTTTAGTATTCCCTGGTGGGCAAAATAGCTTAGCACTTCACTGCAACCATGAGTCATCCACACCTAGTACTACTAGCCTCAGAGTCAAGTAAACCACCATAAGGCAAGGGAAAAACTGCAGGAATGGCCATCACTGTTACAACTAGAGGATACCCAAGTAGGAGCAGAAACAGACCAGAGTCCCAGTGGCAGTTCTCATCCACACACAGCTAACCTAGATGGAGCCACTTGCCATGCTTTCATTAGCAGTGGTCTCAAGGCAAAAAACAAAAAACACACAGCACGTACACCCCCTGTATACTGCACACATCTAAATAAAAATCCACTTTTTACTACAGACCACCAGACACTGGTATAGCATTAAGTCATAAATGTGCTCCAATTAAATTTTTTTGCATAGAATGCTACATTTCTGCTTTCTGGGAAACAGGAGGTTGGCTCTCTAATGGAACTTGCAGGACAGTACAATTCATTCAGCCCTTTAGCACTCAGAAAGACTCTGCCAATTCCCTCAATCCGGATGTTCACTTAAATGTGTGGCTGCTAAGAACAAGTCTAAAACAAGCACTGTTCAGCCCTACAGGAAAAGCCTGCGGCTCCTTTTCAAGACATTAGGAGTCTACATACAGTTAGACAGAATTAGGATAAAGCACCTTTTAAGCACACCACAAGCAAAAGCCTGAGAACCAAGCTTGAAAGAACTAATCATGTTAGTTTCTTGTGGGGTGGGGGGCACTGAAGAAAATTGTCTCCACAAAGTTAGATCAGCTTAAGACCAACTTTTCTGTTTTCCAAAGCAGTTAAACTGTTCTCTAGTTTCAACTAATTAAGGGCTGGCTTTCAACAATATGAAGTACTATGAAGGCAGAATAATTAGATCTTGCACCCATGCACAAATTGGAGACGTGTCTATGCAGAAACACTCCTGAAAATTGTCTGAATCAACATTCAAAGAGGATTAAGCTGTACTGAATCCCTATGCAGACACTGCAATTCACAAGTAAAGTGGCCAAGTTTTGTTCCTCTGTTCTTCCCTCCAACAGCTCATTTCAAGCGCAGACAACTTCAGTTTGTCATCAGGGCTCTGAGGCCTGAGACATGCATGCAGAGGAAGCAATGTATCAGATGCACAACCTAGCTATCCCTACAATATCTCCCATTTTGGGAACTGTTTCTGGACTGGAGTAAGCTACACTGGTCTCTGTGCACAGTATCACCAAACACCAAGGGAGTTAGTTCTAGTTAGTGGGCTGACAATTCACACCCTCACTTCAGGGCACATTCTCCGCATGTCCAAAGCCTTGTTTGGAATTACATGTACACAATCCCAGAGCAGCAGGGCTGTGGATGCAGAGTAACCAGAAGCAAGGCAGGTTTTTATAGCTGAATAAAGGCATCTGTGGGGGCAGATCATCTATTCACCCTGGCAGCTACATAGGGTGAGACAGGGCCATCTCTGGATGTGAAAAATGAATGAACACCGACTGCTGTGCCATTCACTGGGGAAGACGGAAGCTTGCAGCAGAACACTTCAACCTCCCTGGACACTCCATTGCTGATCTCAGCATTGCTGTTCTTAGGCCAAAAAGCTTTTAAAAACTAATCTAAAAGGGAAACTGGAACCAGAAGTCCTCCCCCTCCCCCCATAAAGTACAGTTTAAACAGGGATTATGAATTCTTCTCTCAATACCTGGGCTAGCTTTCATGCCCTGCTTTGCACCTATGGGTTTACTGCTCCTTTGCTTTCCCTCCTAGAACTGCCCTCCTTTCCCCATCTGCTCTTTTGTACTCCAACTTCTCTCCCCCCAACACTGCTTTCTGCACGTCTTGTCCCAGCCTCTGATGAAGTGAGCTACATTGTGCTCTCTCTAAATAGATCTTATGTAGCTGGTCTAGAGATACAGCTCTCCCCCCCCATAAACAGGACTAGCCACCTCTCCACTGACATCCCATTCACCTCCCCCAGCTTCCCTGCCAGAGGCAAGCCCAGATTCTTATCCCATCCCTCGGTTAGCTTTTGCAACCCACTTTGTTCCTACGCTCCTTTGCTTTTTTCTCCTAGCACTGCCCTCCTCCCTCCTTGTCCCCTGTTTTTTGTACTCCAACTTCTCCCTCTTACCAACACTCCACTTTCTGTGCCTTCTCCCAGCCTCTCATAAAGCTGACTAGGCTTGGCAGGCAACAACTCCTGCTCTCTACATAGACCTCATTTAATCAGTGTAGAGAGGTGCTCCCTGCCTTCAGGCCAGCAGGGTTAACTACCTCTCTCCAGTGCCACCCCAGAGAGGCAGCCCAGGGCAGACCCATGGCGGGTGGCGGTGGACTCTGGAGTGGCATGGAGAGCGGCAGCTGGTCCCGTGCCCCCGGAGAGACACGAGGCCAGAGTGGACGCATGGGGGTGGGTGGAGGTGGACGCTGGGGTGGCACGCACCTTGGCGGGCGGGCTCAGGAGGCGCGGGCCGGGCGGCGCTCGGGGGCGG